GTCCTTATGTTTTAGGTGAGCCTCTTGACAGCAGATACTTGGTTGGTGAATTCTTATCCATTCATTCTGCCATTCTGTTATCTTTCCAGTGGAAATATTTACATTCAGAGTTAGCAAATGAGATCAGACGTACTATTCTATTCATTCTGCTATGAATATACAACATGAAAATGAATATAAAAAACCTTGTGGCTTTTTTTTCATTATGTTATTGTTATATAGTTCCTGTGAGGTTATGCTTTCAGGACGTTCTATTTTGGTGTACTTCAAGGATTTGTTTCAAGATTGAAAGCTACCTTGAGCAGTTATTGTAGTGTTGGCTTGGTATTGGCAAATTCTCTCAGTGTTTGTCTTAAAAAGACGGTGTCTTTTCTTCATTTATGGAGTTCAGTGTTGCTGGATATAAAATTCTTGGCAGATAATTGTTTTGTTTAAGGAGGCTAAGGATCGGCCCCCAGTCCCTTCTAGCTTGTAGGGTTTCTGCTGAGAAACCTGCTGTTATCTGCTATTAATCTGTTAGGTTTACCTTTATGGGTTACCTGATGCTTTTGCCTCACAGCTCTTAAGATTCTTTCCTTCATCTTGACTTTAGGTAATCTGATGACTATGTGCCTAAGTGATTATCCTTTTGCAATAAATTTCCCAGGTGTTCTTTGAGCTTCTTATAGTTGGATGTCTAGATCTCTAGCAAGGCCGGGGAACTTTTCCTCATTATTTCCTCAAATATGTTTCCAAACTTTTAGAATTTCTCTTCTTCCTCAGTAACACAAATTATTCTTAGGATTGGCCATTTAACATAATCCCAAACTTCTTGGAGGCTTTTTCTTTCTTTTTTAATTCTTTTTTTGTTTTTGTTGGATTGGGTTAATTTGAAAGCCTTGTCGTCGAGCTCTGAAGTTCTTTCTTCTGTTTGTTTGATTCTGTTATTCTGTGCTTAGACTTTCGGGTGTATTTTGCATTTCTCTAAGTGTGTTCTTCATTTCCAGAAGTTGTGATTATTTTTTATTTATGCTATCTATTTCACTGAAGATTTTCCCCTTTCTATCTTGTAACACTTTTATGATTTTATTAAGTTGGACTTTACCATTCTCTGGTGCTTCCTTGATTAGCTTAATAATTGACCTTCTGAGTTCTTTTTCTGGCAATTCAGAGGTTTCTTCTTGTTTTGAATCCATTGCTGTTCAGCTAGTGTGATTGTTTTTAAAGAAACTTATTTTGTTGTATTACCAGAATTGTTTTTCTGTTTCTTTATCCTTTGGGTATACTATGTCAGAGGGAAGATCTGGGGCTCAAAGGCTGCTATTCAGATTCTTTTGTCCCATCGGGTGCTCCCTTGATGTGATACTTTCCCCACTTACCCTAGGGATGTGGCTTTCTGAGAGCTGAACTCTTTTTTCTCTTCTGGATCTAGCCATTCTGCAGAGATACTGGGCTCTGGGCTGGTACGGGGGATGTCTGCACAGAGTCCTGTGATGTGAACCATCTTCAGTTCTCTCAGCTGTGGATACCAGCACCTGCTCTCGTGGTAGTGGCAGATGGGTAACGTGGACTCTGAGGGTGGTTGTAGTTTTGTTCATTTTACTAATTTTGTGTTGGTTGGCCTCCAGCCAGTAGGTGGCGCTGTCAAGAGAGCATCAGCTGCAGTAGTATAGGGAAGATCAGGTGGTGTGTGGGGATCCTAGAGCTCACAAGTTATGTCCTTTGTCTTTGAAGTTTTTCAGCTGTCCCCTGGGCCCTACAGCAGTAATCTGCTTCCTTCAAAGGATGTGTTTTTCCTGGTATGTTCCTGCAGTAGTTATTGGAGCAAAAGTTCACAATGTGAGTCTCCACACACTGCTCTGTCAGTCCAAGGAGGAGCTGCAAGTTAGTCCTGCCAACTATCTCTCATTTACCTTGTGACTCTCAAGAATACTTTTCCCCCAACATGGGTTTGTTTCTGAAACTCTCATGAAATTACACACTTCTTAAAAGTTGCATTTTTAGTTGATACATTTGAGATTGTTGACATTTGGAGTTTATTCTTCTGCAAGACATTATTTTATTATTGAAAAAGTATTATTGGTGCTAAGGTAGCTTCAGAGCAACTAGTGCTAAAGGAAGGATTTTTTTAAATGAGATATGAAGTATTTTAGTTCAAATATTTTCATAAGAACTCTTTCTAAACCTCTGTTTAGAATACCAATATTCAACAAATAATTTTGCCAGACAAAAAAGTTGTGAAATAAATTGCCTTTTTCATTCTTTTGAATCTTTTGCTAAATTTAGGTGCTGTAAAATTTTGTCTTTATCCAATTAAAAATAGAAGCGCTATGAAATTATTCTTTACACAAGTTGAAATATTCCAAAATGCCCTTACTGGATTTCAAAATTATTGTACATTGCTTTAAATATTCCATATTTCTCTGTTTGTCACTTGATTTTTTTATAGGTTAATTTCACCTTATGCTTACTCGCAAACTTTGATTTCAACAATTGCAGTTTGCCAAAAGGTTCAAAAGCTGACTTTTCAAAAAACAATTCTATTTGTTGAAAGTTTTGATCAAAATTTCCAGCTGATTTTGAACAAAATGCAACTCAATCTTAGAGGTCTCACCAAACACAAGGTTCCAAGTCATTTTGTGATACCTGGTTTTCAACGTAGTTTTTTGAAGGCTAAATGAGTGGCAAAGAGAATGCATACTGGCATGATGAAGTATTAACTTTAATTTGCTTTGCATTAGTTGTGTATATGAAAACCTATATTTGTATTAAAATCACAAGAACAAATAATGTTCCTCATTGAGCTTTTACACTATTATTAACAGTAATTTCAAGTGTTTAACCCTTTAAGGCAGGATTCAGCAAATCTTTTCTGTAAGGGGTCAGACAATAAATATTTTATGCTTTCTGTGCCAGTTATCTCTTGCAACTCACTTCTGCCTTGGTAGCCTTAACATAGCTATAGACAGCATACATACAAATACAAATATATATACCCCAGTAAAAGTATATAGCCACACTCACTTGTTTGTATACTGTCGATAGCTGTGTTAATGAGTGAGTGGGTATATACTCATTTATTAATGGAGACTGAAATGTGATTTTTTTTTTTTTTTTTTTTTTGGGAGAAGGAGTCTTGCTGTGTCACCCAGGCTGGAGTGCAGTAGTGCAATCTCAGCTCACTGCAACCTCTGCCTCCCAGGTTCAAGCGATTCTCTTGTCTCAGCCTCCTGAGTAGCTGAGATTACAGGCATGCGCCACCACGCCCGGATAATTTTTGTATTTTTAGTAGAGATGGGGTTTCACCATGTTTATCAGGCTGGTCTCAAACTCTTAACCTCATGATCCACCCTCCTTGGCTTCCCAAAGTGCTGGGATTACAGGTGTGAGCCACCATACCTGGCAGAAATGTGAATTTTATATAATTTTCATATATCACAAAGCATTCGCTTTTGATCTTTTTCCAACCACTGAAAACTATAAAAACCATTCTTACCCTGTAGGCCATGCCAAAACAGGTGGCAGGGTGGATTTGGCCTGCAGACCAATTTGCTGACCCTTATTCCACAAATTGGTTGAAAAAAACAGAACTGCTAATGGAACTGATCTCTTATTTGAAAACTGGCACGATCTAATTGCCTGGAAAGTTCTTCCAAGCTAAAGGAGCCAATATTTAACTGCTATTGTGTATATTTTTTATGTTCAGGAGAACATTAAGGGAAAAGATTGGCATAATTATTTTAGGAAAGTCATTTGATCCAAATGAACAGTCATCCTTTAGAAATAAGTGTAAATACTACAGTTTTATAAATGCAAACTCTGTGATTGCACTTAAGAATTAGTTGTCTTTGGGCACTGTCTTCTTAAAAAAAAAAAAAAAAAAGAGACAGTGGATATCAATATTTTTTCAGATGTCTGCTGGTTTCCATGGGCCCATTGATAGGACTCCAACCCCAGGGTGCATGGCAAATGTAGACAGATGTGCAGATTACACATTTACTATTTACTTTCTTGAGAAATGGAAATGTAGTACTTATTAAATCTGCATTTTTATTTTTTAGTTCATTGCTTACAAAATGGCTTGTAAAATACAAGCAATCAAAACAGTAAAATACTTTTGGATTTACACTATACATGACAAAACCATTATAATACAAGCTGTCAGACTAATCTTCTATGTAATTGCTTCCCATGTGATGCCAACATGCTTTGTTCCATCAGAATGCTGGGGAGGGAGCTGTTAGTTACCTTGGACTGGGAAAGGGCCCAGAAAATAGGTGTTTTATTCCTGGTTGGCTTTTAGAGTTAACAACACCTAGAAGTGTGAACTCTGTTCACTGTATGTGTATCTTGCATGCTACTAAATAAGATGGTGACAAAAGCAAAACATACAAAAAAAGGTCATTAAACCCAAGCTGGCTTACTTTAATGCAATAATGAATCATAATATTTAATTAAAAATGAAAAATACAAAGACAAAACCAGATTGGACATTGAGACAGCAGCTGTAAGCCAAGACTATTTTAGACGAACCGAGACATATGGTTGTCCTATTTAAATCCGTAAAATTAAGCTTTTCTGTAATTTGGATAGTTCTGCTCTTTCCTTTCCCCATTTTGGTCAGCAAAGTTGCCACCCCTGTTCTGCAGTAGTCTCAGATCCACTTAGATCTGTGACCTACCCATTCTTATTCCTCACACTATATTTACACAGCCCTGCTGTGTGAACTAATGAGACCCAGTTACAGTCATGTCTCTCTACTGCTTAAAACCTGGCATGAACCACCCAGGAATGCCACTGATGGACCTGTAACTATTGTGTGGACCCAAATCATGAGTATGTGAGGGTAGTTGCAGATTTCTGGTTCCCATCCTAGAGACTGGTGTTCTGTAAGTATTGGGAAAGCCTTGGTGCATCGAAGTTGAGTCTCTGTCCATCTCATTACTTCGTCACCTGCCACCTGTCTCTGTCACATGGCCCACTCAGCTGTTGTAGGTCCCCAGTGTCCTGTTTAGTGGAGATTGGTATTCTGTAAGTCTTGTGAAAGCCTTAGTGCATCGAAGTTGAGCCTCTGTCCATCTCATTACTTCATCACCTGCCACCCCCACCTGTCTCTGTCACATGGTCCACTCAACTGTTGTAGGTCCCCAGTGTCCTGTTTAGTGTGTCTTCCCCACATTTCTTTTGGCAGCTAAGAGGGCTGCTGTTGTACATCTTTCTGTTGAAATTAAATTTACTGCTCTTTGATGCTGTTTCTCTCTAGCTGAGCATCTTGTGATAGCAGGGTCTAGGTCTCAGATCATTTCTGTATTCTTAACCTGACACCTGAAACTTACGGTGACTGTTGAGTGATGGTATAAGATTCAAGGTTAACAGTCTTTCTATTGTTTCTCTTGTCATGAATTGAAAGTTCAGTGAATTAAAGTAGGATTTGTATAGTCACTTCATCGTATATATATCAAGTTCTGCCCTTAAAACTTCCGTTTTCTCCAGGACCAATCGGTGTGGTAGTTTTAAATTTCATACTTTAAAAATCGAGCTTTAGAGTGGGCAAAAATGCCCCTGAAACATTTACAACTTCTGCTGTGTTTTGAATTGGAATAACAACTTTGTGTCCCTACAGCCAGAGTAGGACTCAATAAAAGAAAGCTGAAAGGTGCTGGAAGCCTCCTGCGCTTTGGGGGTATGGAGTCAGGAACAACTGGCAGGAGTTGTGTAGTTGATTCTGCATGTTGGCATTGCCATAAGATTGGTTAGAAAAAAGATCTGTGAAAGCTTTCCTGAGGGTTTGTGCTCTTGCTTTCACACGTCCCATAATTGAAATTAACTGCTGCTGACTGGCTAATGACCAGTATTGAAATGGGAAAATCTTACTTGCTTATGCTTTTGCTTATAAACATTGAAGTTTAATGAAATTTAACCATAGTTACGTATGATTTTATGAAATTAGGTAGGCTTTCTCAAGAAAAATGTGAGCAATGTAAGGCAGGGTATTTTTGGGAGGGGGTGCTTATTGTAAGGGCAATAAACAGTGATAAATAGTAGTGTCTGACGATACTGGTTGAATGAGTGAACTCATGGTAACATAACTCCAGTGTGGCAGACTGATTCTTTGGTGCTTTTATTCAGATGGCAAACTTTTATAGAAATCGGAGAGTTTGGTAAAGACTTTTAAAAAGTAGTCAGAATTACCTATTATATCCTTTTCTAGATAATCAATTTGGAAAGAATTGCTGGTACCTTAAGCCACATGTATAACTCCTACTATGGTGTTGAAAATGTTCCGTTTGACAAATGCATCAATGAGCAGGCACGTGAGAACAGTGTACTCTTCTTACTTAGGAAAACAACAATGAAGGTCTTCCAGACAGGAGAGAGTCTGCACTGCATCACAGCTGATCCAAAAGTTCAATTCAGTGAAAAGGTAAATATTTTGATCAGGAGGGGAATTTTTCCTAGGGAGTATTAGCACAGTGTATTTTTAGTTGTGTGGTTATTTATAGCCGCCTGATGGCTTGCGTTTTAGTCTTTATTTGTTTTTTAGGACATGCTAAGGATTGAGGGTCGTGTGCCTCAATTGTGTAGAAGACACAGTTGCATTTGGTTGCCTGGAGGCTTCTCTGTGAAGCCTGGTGGGACGCCTGCTGGCCAGTTTGGCCTTTCTTTTGTGAAGGGTTAGAGACAAGGGCAGAAGGTCATTGTATTTATAGGCTATTTGAAGCTTATCTTGTTTACTTTGTTAATAATGCTTGAGTCATTTTTCTAAACATTCTTCAGTGTATAACAGCAAAGATTAAAAAGGTAAGTAATTTATTATTAGGCCCTAGTTGTCATTCACCTGTTCTTGTAGAGCTGATACCTTTTTTCTTATCAAATTTTAGGTTTAATCATATTTAGCCTAGAAGAGTGGTCTGTCTTAAGAGTATTCAGATTATTTAGGGACATCTAGATGAAACTTTTTTGCCTGAGTCCATCGTCTCTCCTTTAAATTGCTGAAGGCAGGAATGAGTGTTTTTAAAAACCAACATGTATAAAGCAACATTTTAGGCAAACCTGGATGAGGAAAAACATCTTGAAGGGGGCTTCATAATGGTGTTGGAGCCTGTTACAAATGTGGAATGAGAAAAGCCAATTACGAAAACAGTACTGACTTTTGGCAAAATGAGTCTTCATGGAAACATACCTTAACGATTATCTGACAAGTGCAAGTACTTTTTGAGGTTAACTGAATTATAAACAGGAGACTACAGACACTACGGTCACTACTGAGAGGCATGATAATTCATGTGGTATGTTCTTTTTAAAGATTAGCAATCTTAAGTTTTTTGTATGTTAGTTATTTGGGGGGTGGTTTTAAAGTAAGTGCTCTTATTTTCTTTCTCCACTGCTTTTGCACAAAAACTTCACTGTTCAAAGAATATTGTCCAGGAAAAAAAAAAAAATCTCTCTCCAACTTGAAGCATGTCAGAAAATTCTTACTTATTTTGCACCTGTTAAGTGCCGGATGCTTAAAAGTTCATGGGACATAGCAGGAAACAATACTAATGAGTTTCTGCCTTCATAAAGCTCACGTGTATGCCACAAACACAGAAGTAAAACACGGTGTGTTTGGTGGTGGGATGGTGTGCCGTGCTCAGGAGAAAACAGGAGGCAGGGAACGGGATGGAATTGGGGGAAAGGGCGGGGAGAAAGGGGCCAGTTGCAGCCCTCCACTAGCTGGAGTGGATTAGCTGGGTGCCTTCAGGTCATTCATTTAACTCTGGAACCTGTTTTCTCGTGACTGAATTGGCAAAAATAATACATGTTCAACCTACTTCATAGAGTTTTGTGGGTGAGAGGAATATTAGTAACAAGGGCCTTATACATGCACATTGGATAACTGTTTGCTTATTGACTCTTCACATTTATGCTTCTTGCTCATTGCCAGTATCACAATTCATTCTGTGGTTAATTCAACAAATACTTGAGTGTCTGCTAGGGATGAGGTATATAGCTAGATTTTAGATAGACAAAACTCTGTTCTCATTCTATTTGAGCTATGGTTGAAGAGATGTAGTGTGTTATACCTTTTACTGTTGCTGTGTATTTTGTCTTTAAAAGTTCAATTTGGTGACCTTTTGTCAATTAACTAGAAAAGTTGATGTTTTAGTTTAAAATCTTAATAGAGCTTGTGGGAACTCAAGAGTTTTTATATAGGTTTTATTTTCCTATTTACTTACTTTAAATAGGTTTTATTTTCTTGTTACTCTTGGGGCCATTTAAACTAGTAATTGTGTTTATTCTATAAGTTTTTTAATTTTAAAAGTATTCATAGAGTTTAAGAATGCTACTGTCCACCCCTAAAATGTACAATGGTTCAGTGAGAACGTTAGATGTAATACATTTTGTGATGGCAATGTAAATCAAGAAGTAGAAATGAAATATGCCATTTGATAATTAAAACCACGTAGTTAGACTGTGAAGGCCACACACTAGAATTTAGCTAAGTGGATGAAATGCTGACTGGTGAGTAAGGTAGATCATTCTCCATTTGGGCAATTAGAATGGAGGGATTAATATAATTTGGATACTTAATAAAAATTTTTAGGAGTTAAAATATTATTTGAAAAATGCATAATTTGCATTAGCCAATACAGAGTTCTTAACTAACAGGCAGAAATCCAGGAGTACTCCTCATTCTAAAAAAGCTTTTGATTACCAGGGGAAATGTAATGGCACCAAGGCACATGGCAAGGACTAATTAAAACTGAGCAGTAGGGTCTGTGGCTCTAGACTGACTAGGATTTGTGATTTAATCTTGCTGCTCTAAAGATTTCGGGGCTTGCTTAGATTGGTGGGCATAGTTATTACAGATTGGCGTATGTGTTCCCTTTCAGAGCCAGAGGACGTCTTACTTAATAGAAAGTAGTAATCTGGGTCTCCCACCTTTGAGCTCTGTGTTAGTTCTATAACCTGGGCCAGAGTTACCTTTAGTTTTCCAAACTGTAAAATGGACATAACAGCAGGGTGGTGAGAATCAAATGAGTGAATTGATGATAGAGACTTAACCTAGTGCCTGGCATGTAGATATTCTAGGTACTTGATTGTTATTATTTATCATATAAAGCTGAAGGATTGTCATAAAAGAAGCATGAGCACTTCTCTATATTGGAGAGTTTCTGGGCTGGGAAATGTTTAACTCTCCCTGTAGCTTAGGGGTGAGCTTTTGATGTCTTCACTGTGGCAGGCAGCATCTGGGACAGCTCCTCTCTTGTGGCTGTAGGAAGCTGGAGTCTGGGGGCTGTCTCTGTTTACAGATCTTTCGGGAGGTAGAAACAGGTGATTTGCTTGGACTTTTTGTGAGGGGATTTTCAGGTGGGCACGAGCACCTGTCTGGAAAGGAACCACCCTTTAACTCTTCACTGCATTTGCAGGCGCATTGCATCCACCTGCCCCTTGGTAAAAAGTCTTAACACAGCAGTCCCTGATCATATGCATGTATTCATTCAGGCTTTCTCAGCCTCATGTCAGAAGATGCATGTGGCCGTCATTCTGGATGTAATCTGAGAAACTGAACAGTCAAATTTGGGGAATGATCTAGGGCTGAGGAGTGCTGAAACTAGCAGCCCCCAGTTGAAATGAGGTTCAAATAAGTGGGGGTGATGATAATACTAATCGAAAACAGTGTGGCATTTTATACACTTTTTGGTGTCAGTCCCTACTTTATTTATTTATTTTTATAGTGGCTTTTGAGGTAACCAGGCTAGTTGCTTCTTGGTAGTGTGTGTAATTTATTTCTCCCTCCCTTGCTTTTCTGTAAAGCGATGGCTGCCCCTTTTCGCTTTACAGATAACCTGTTTGGTGGCATGTAGGCACCAGGCAGAAATCCCATTTCCCGTTAATGTTTCAATACGTGGATTTAGCGTCTACTGATGAACCTTGCTGAATCTTCAGTGAGTGTTACCATCGGAAGATTTTCTAGTTCTGTTGTTCCTTCTGTGCTTACCAGGTAGACTTATGCCAGGAAGAGCTGTCACCAACTTGGACAAACTATGATTCCTCCTAAAAAGGCAGGGCCAAGTCTTTTTTTTTTTTTTTGGCCACTTTAGATTTAAACCAAGTTTACATTTGGTGTAAAATCATTGATTATAAGTGAAGATTTAACATTTTTGTGTGTGTATCATTGTGGGCTTATGATTTTTATTCGATGATTCAAATACGTTCTTTTTGTTTGAATTGTACAATTTTAGCCAGTAGGGACCAATTTCTTGTGAGTTTCTCTGGCCTTTTTTTCTTTTTTCTTTTCTTTTCTTTTTTTTTTTTTTGGAGACAGGGTCGGTCTTTGTCACCCAGGCTGGAGTGCAGTAGCTTAATCATAGCTCACTGCAGCCTTGAGCTCCTGGGTACAAGTGATCCTTTCACCTCAGCTATTCAAGTAGCCAAAACCACAGGAGCATGTCACCATGCCCAGCTAATATTTTAATTCTTTGTAGAGAAGAGGTCTCACTTTGTTGCCCAGGCTGGTCTTAAGCCCCTGGTCTCAAGTGATCCTCCCCCTGGGCCTCCCAAAGTGCTGGGATTACAGGCATGAGTCACTGTGCCCAGCCCCTTTGTTCTTTTGACATCTGCCCATACTCCTTCATTAGTCTTTACCTGCTTTTTGACATATTAAGGTGGCCAGGGCTCACCTTGTGCTTCCCCGTGTAGTTGATGACAGTAATTTCATAGCCATTATTGAGTGCGTACATAGGCCAGGTACTGGTTTGTACTTTAAAAGAATTACCACGTTCAATCTTCATAACAACCCAGAAGGTAGTTATTTTTATTTTCGTCTGTAAAATGAGGACATCAAAGTTCAGAGAGCTTGAGAAAGGGTAATGTAACCTATCTAAAGCTAAGCTGCTAGATGGCAGAGCCTGTGTCTGAATCCAGGACTTCCCACTGCGGAACCTCCAGGCCTTTGTTCCTAATCACCATCAGTTCATGCAGACCTCTTCCGTCTCTTCCTCCTCCTCATTCCCCTCCTCCTCCCTTCCTCTCCCATTTTTAGTACTAAGGATAGCTCTTAAAGTCTCTATTGAATCTGTTCTCAGTTTCACTGCTGTCTTGCTTCAGGTGCTGGTTTCTCTTTCAGGGTGTTGCATGGAGTCCCCGTCTCCTGCCTTTCTTTTTCCAACATCCATATTCCTGCCAGGAAGATCTTTTAAAAAGAAAGAAAGAAAGAAAGAAAAAAAATAAAAATCAGGCAGCTGTCACCTTTGCATACAGGATAGAGCCCGCCTTCTGTGTGACACTGGCTCCTCATACTTGTCCCCACAGCCGCCCCAGCTTCTCCCGCCACACCACAGCACACCTGCATGTGCAGAACAGCATGGCAGGCACCTCTTAGCCGACCTCGTGTTCCCCTGTGCCTTTGCACACCTTGTTTCTTCATCTTGGAATCTTCCTCCCACTTTGTAAAATTTTGTTTTCCTGAAATTCAGCACAGATGGGCTTCTGTGAAGGTGCTGTCCTGATTCTCTGTGCAGAGGTGAGTCCCTGCTCCTGGCGAGTCTCTCTGAGTTTGCGTGCTTTGTGCACATGTCCCCTGGGGTGTAGTTCACTGTGCACATGTGGCCTCCTCCAGCAGGGCAAGGGCAAAGCTGTGTCTGGCTCATCTTTGTAGGCCAGTTCTTTCAGCAGGTAAGGTATTCGTAATCCTCAAGACCTGTGTGAGCACACCAGTGTCTGGCTCTCCTCACTGCAACTGACACTTAGATTCTTACATAATCCAAGTGATGCCATCTTGCAGGCATGGCTCGGATCATCTTTAAGATGTTTCCTCATCCCAGTTTCCAGAAAACTCAGCATCCCTAGTTCACATGACCCTGTTTATATTACGCAGTTTCATGTATGACCCCCATCAGATCATCAAGTTTGCACTTGATAGTTCTCCCCAGCACAAAGGACTGTGCACCCCGAAGACTCCTAGTAAGTCAGTTTTGGTTGGTGAGGTGGTAGAGGCGCTTGGTCACCTGGGAGCTCCACGTGTGTTCCTTTTAGTGATGTTTAGAGAGAGGATAAAGACGCCAAGTCTTCTGCTATGTCAGGTGTTTTCAAATGTCAAAATGCTATGCCACCTGGAATAAAATAACCTCATGACACAACGTGAGGACAAACAAGGTTCCAAGGCTGGGAGGGAGCATGTCCCATCGAGGCCATGTGTACCTGACAGGTAAGTTGTCACCCATCAGTGGCAGCATCAGGAAGGTTGGGTTCCACGAGTCTGTCAACCCCCAAAGTGATGTCAAAACAAAAACCAGCCACCCCGGGGGTGTACATGAAGCACCACACACCATTTTAGGTTTGGCCTGTCCTCTTTTGGCCACTGGCATTAGAACTGTAAAGAGTCAGATAAAATTAAAAGAAGTCGTCTAAGGAGGCCCCTGATAATTGTCAGCCAAGATTCATGACTAGAGTCAGGGCTAAGGTCGGAATTCAACCCAATCTGGTTTTAATTATAAAATATATGAATAGGGTCAATATGAGCTTCCTTGTCGAGTGTTGGAATTCTAGAAATAGTCCATGTCTAGACAGGGTTGCTTTAGGATAAAATGAGAGAAATAATTATTTCCTGGATAATACGTTTAGGATTTTAGATTGACTAGATAGATAGATAAGAGGAAGGTTTATATAAATTAATAGATCTGTAGTGGTTTCAAAAAAGATAGTCAATGAAAGCCCAATATTTAACCCTTTGAAGTAAAGTGAAAGATAATTGACCCTTTTCTCTATTAATACCCTCTTATGAAGCAGTTTAAAATTTTAATTTTTTTTAGAGAATGAGGTTTTGCTCTGTTGCTCAGGCTGGAGTGCAGTGTTGTGATCAGAGTGTTGCAATCATAGCTCACTGCAACCTCGAACTCCTGGGGCCAGGGGACCCTCCCACCTCATCCTCTTGAGTAGCAGGGATTGCAGGCCCATGCCACCACCCAGTTAACTTTTATCGGCAGTTTTTAACCTATTTAAGCCCAGAGTCCCTTCTGGAATCTGCTAAAAGGCATAGATTCTCAACCTAGAAAGTTGCGCACATGCACTAATGATTTTTCATACAGCTTTTTTTTCCGTTTGGTGGAAGGACCAGGGAAATCCCAAATTCTTCTGAGAGTTATTTGTGGATCCTTTATCTCACAAAGTTTTCTTGACCATAGCCCATGGTTGAAAATGTAGCTTACATCACAATCTACACATAAGCATTTAAGATGAAAAACTTCATAGAATACTAACTTTACTATGGGCAACACACTCTGTTCTGTTCTGGCTCGTTTTATGAAAGGCTGTTTAATGAAATGATTTTATGACACACTAAGGGGTCTCCACCTGCAGTTAGAAAAATGTAGCTCTCAGTGTGCAGAGTGGGTAGGCTTCAGAACCCTTGCCTTGTCACGGTCAGGCTCAGTACTGGGCATCTCATGCTCGGATAGAGTTGTTGTGCTCATTGTCTATTTGTTGTCAAGGTCGAGTCTGGCTAAATGCATACCCCAGGCAGTTAGAAAAAAAGAATTACCGTTTAACTTACGGCACATCAAAAGTGTTGAGATCTGGCCCACATGATTATATAGATTATAGAGATCTCACATGCTCAGCAAATGTGGCTCATTTGTGATCACAGCACAGATATGTAAAAACATCAGGGTGTAGCAGTGAACAAAACAAACAAAAATTCCAGCCTTCTAGTAGAGGAGAGGGGCATCAAACGAGATCATAAAATACGTCAGACTGTGTTGAATGCTAAAGAGAAAAAATAAAGCAGAGAGCGGGGTATGAAGTGTTGGGACAAGATTTGAAATTTTAGGTTGGATTGCTGGGGTGTTAGTGTCACTGAGAAAGTGACCTTTCAGTAAAGGCCTGAGGGCAGCGAAGTTGTTGGCCGGATAGCTAATTGTGGGCAGGGCTTTGTAAGCAGAGGCCGTGGAAGTGCGCAGGCCCTGAATGGGACAGAGCCCAATGGTGCCTGGAGAGGAGGGAAGGGGATGAGGGGTCAGAGGGGCAGCCCACACATGTCCACAGGACCCTTCAGTTGTACCAGGCAGCCTGAGGGTGTCAGCGTGGAAGCAGGGGAACAGCTAGCTGTGAGGATGCTGTTGGGACAGTCATGGCCAGGACAATGGTGGTATGGGCCTGGGTGATGGCAGCAGGAAGAGCAAGACATGTGAATTCTGGAAAGACTGAACCTGGGTGGGAGGGAAAGAAGAGAGCCCAGGATGGCCCCAGCTGGAACGCTGATGGGGAAGACTAAGGTGGAGTAGTTCCAGGACTGGGGGAGCTTCAGGAGCTCAGCTTGGGGCAGGTAGAACTTTGTGAAGCCTTTTACACCCAGTGGAAAAGTCAACAAGATATTAGAATCATTAATTAATATTTTTTGCACATTTCCTCACTGATTTGAAAGAGAAACTCTAACCTAACCTGATGAGTATAGACAGGATGGTTTTGTCCTGGGCTATCTCATGATTTTTCATGTGGGGCGGAATTCCTGGCACTTCCTTTCTCAACCAGGCAGTGGTCCACAGAGGTGAGAGAAGTCAGCTTAAGAGAAAGGCAGCTTTCCTCTGTCTTTCAGTGGTCATGCATGGTTCCGGGTTATAGTTTGTGGCCTTTCACAATTAGAAAAACACAGGCTTTTTTCATTGTAAAAATTGGGGCTTTTAAATGGTAAAATATATGTGACAAAGTTTGCCATTTTAACCATTTTTTGTGTACAGTTCACTGGTGTTAAATACATTCATATTGACCTTCAACCCTCACCACCAGACGTCTCCAGAACTTTAAAAAATGAAGTTTTGCATCCAGACATCCTCCCCAAGGTATTTCACAATTACCCAAATTTCTGGTGAAAAATTTTATGTAAAAACAATATATTTTTACATACACAAGAGTAAACACTGAATTTAACAGCAGTTGCCAATGTTGCCGTAGGGGAGGACTTCCCTACATGGGGCAAAATTTGCTGAAATTCTTGAAATAAGTCTACGAGACTCTTACTAGACTCTGCCTTTTTCTGGTAACTCACCCTTTCTCAAACTTAAGGTCTTCTTTGTAGGCCTTTGAAGTCCCTTCAGAACAGGTAGATTGTTGAGGACTGTTTGTTGCCAGTTTGGTACATGTGGATGATTTCTAAAAGTCTCCTGATGGGCAAGTCTCCAGGGCGTGACCTGTGCTCACAGCGCCACCTGTTTATGGATCCCTTCTGTCTATTTCAATACAGTCTGTCATTGGACGTAAGAATGTTGTTTCTGGCCATGTGCTTCTCCGAAATCTCTGTTGAATTCAGATGTGTCCCAGGTCTTCCATTTAACTTTACAGGGAATTACCCAGTGATCGCTGTGCTCCTTGAACCCTTGCTGAAGAAATTAAGTCAGCTTTTGTTCATCCATAATTCTCATTATGCCTGTTTAGAAGGAAAACCACCTCTTTGCTGAAATGGTAATTTAAAGACATGGATTTGCCAAGTTGAATTGTATCTGTTCAGCGTAAAGATTTTTCTTCCCACACCCTGTCTTGTCCCGTGGACTCACGCTTCTATATCGCACTAGCTCTAGGCTCTGCCTCCTTTGCATATTTTCACTTTTCTTCAAAATTGTGCTTATTTCTCAATGCAAGAAGTTCAACTAGAAGCCTTGTTCATCCACTTTCTTTCATTTTCCTTTATCTTAAAATATACTTCTTGTCCAAAGTGAGTCTTTAAATAGATTTTTTGTTGTTGTTGTTGTATTTAAAAAACCACATTATTTTCCTAGAAAAATTCAAGCAGTAAAGAGGAAGGGCAACTCAGGTAAAAATCTAAGAGTCAGCACTCAACCACTATTTGTTTTGATTATTATTGTAGGTTATTACCTTACTGACATGTAGTAATGGTGAACATAAATACAGTCCTGGTAGGTGTCAGGCGCTAAAATGTTTCACACCCAAACACTTCGGCTCCTTGTCACAGCAGCCCTCTAAGGGTCGGCACCACTGTTGTCCAGCCATCCAGTGACCTGGATGAGCAAACCAGAGCTCACAGAGCCTTAGGAACCTGCCTAGCACCACACAGCCGGAGCCACGGGAGTGAGCGCCACCCCCGGCCAGCCTGTCTAGGCAATCCCTCCTGGCTGGTATGCCTATTCATCTTTCCTATGACCTGCCTTTTGTTTTGTTTTAGATTACAGGATATATTACAAGTCTTGCAATATTTATGTACAGACTCAGAATTTAAGGCTGTCAGCTTGAAGGTGGAGAGTGTAGACTTGAATTAGTCTGCGTGAGTTTGAATCCCGCTCTTCCAGTTACTGCTCCCTCGACAGAATTACTTAACCTCTGTGCCCCAGTTCCTCCTCTGGAAAAGGGGAAGACAGAAATGATATCTCTCATAGTGTTTTGCAGGAATTAAATGAGTTAACAGAGGTACAGAGCTTAAAACAGTGGTTGCCACATAAACACTGGGCAAATGTTAGTTACCCGGATTAAATGGTCAGCACCTGCAGTGGTCTCTGCTCATTTTGGGCTTGTTCATGACAGATTGGTTTGTGAGAGTGTATGTGCTTTTAGAATAGTTCTAGAACTAGAATCATTTGTACACATTTTACTGATTATTTCTTAAGCATTGTTCATGAGAATGTTTTGTTGTTGGTTTGGTGGCTGGCAGTTCTCTTATTAAGCTTTCCTTCTTGCTTTCTATTTTGTGATATTTTTGGTGAGTCACACAGCAGAGACGTGTTCTGTGGAACAAGCCTATCCTTGGATTACAACAGACAGTGAAATTTTATTTCTAGTGTGAGCTCGATTCTGTGACCTGTGTGCTTCTACTTCTAGTCTATTCTTTTCAGTAGTGGTCACTGCAGATTACTTGCCATTGTATAGGTAGGTCAGCTGCCCTGGGTGCCTTGCTTAAGCCTTCTCAGCCCTGAGTTGGTTGCCGTTGCATCACAGATGAAGAAGCAGATAGAGTTATGTCCCAGCCAGGGGTCTGCAGAGTGCTACGACACTCATTCCCTCTGTAAGGAAAGCCCGATTTAAGGGTGGCAGCCTTGCCTGTGACTGTCCCATGAAAGAGAATTTGACTGTGGATTCTGTCATAAGATAATTAGATTATTTTGATGACTACTAGTTCTGCACACTTGCGTTTTAGGGACTCTTCCTTACTTAGGAGATTCTGCCTTTAGATACTGCGTTTACAGAGTGCTTTCTAACATAGATGTTTGGTGGAGAAGGGGCATCTGTTTGTCAGCACCACCTCTTCTGGCTCTGCATGCCGTTTTTCTCTCAACACCTCACCTGATGGCAGGCAGACAGCTCTGAGTGGCTGCCACGTGGTTAGACTGTTGGGATGACTTTTGTCAACACAAACACAGCTCATACGGATCTTAAGAACAAGTTTATGCTTCCAGCAAAAGAAAAACTTTGAACTGTGACTTGAGTGTTACTGTTTCGTTACATGTGTGTAATGCATATGACTGTTACTGCTGGTTCTTGCCATCGGTATTCCCATCCCTCCCTGTCCTCCCGACTACTGTGGTGAAGCTCCTGACAGTGTAGCATGCAGGTGCTAGCCCGTGGGAGGTGAGTCTCTAGTTAGGGAGCTTGTTAGCAATTGTATTAGTCAGGGTTCTCTTGGAGGGACAGAACTAATAGGAATATATATATAAAGGGGAGTTTATTAAGTTTTAACTTACGCAATCACAAGGTCCCACAATAGGCAGTCTGCAAGCTGAGAAGCAAGGAAAGCCATCCTGAGTCCCAAAACTGAAGAATTTGGAGTCCGATGTTCAAGGGCAGGAAGCATCCAGCACAGAGAAAGATGTAGTCTGGGAGCCTAGGCCTGTCTCTCCTTTTCATATATTTCTGCCTGCCCCATATTCCCTGGCAGCTGATTAGATTGTGCCCACCAGATTCAGGGTAGATCTCCCTTCCCCAAGCCACTGACTCAAATGTTAACCTCTTGGCAGTTCCCACCCAGACACACCCAAGATTAATACTTTGTATCCTTCAATCAAGTTGACACTCAGTATTAACCATCACATCAATAATCAAAATAGTATAGAAAGTGAGATTAGTTCATTAATAGCAGTTACTTGCAGTTACTTATTTGATGCAGAGGATCTAAAAATAGAGAACAGTTAAAACATAAATGTCAATGAAAAATGTAATGCTATGAGCAAAATATTAGGGAAGCCTCTCTTTGTCCTTTCTCGTTATGTGTATTTATGGTGTATGCAGTGATGCCTAGGTTACCATTCTCTGGAGAATGCTTACTGCAAACGGGGTTGTTAGCTGTGGGCATAAGTTGTCTCAGGGCCAGGCTGGTGGCTGGGGAGGGGGTGGCCCCAGCAGGACTCCTTATTGAAGGTTGGAGTGGCACCCGTTGCTAAGTGGCTTTTGTGGTCACCCAGATAATGGAGCTGGAGATGCTGACCTTGGCCGTGTTTAAGCTCCACTTCCCTGCCTCAGATGTTTTTTGAGGGACAAGAAGGCCAGTAAATCATGGTCTGCCTTTTCTCAAGAAGTAGGGGGAAGAGACTTGTAGGAAAGGAAATGGAAACCCGAATCCTGAGATGTAGTTCATGTCTAACGTGATGTTTAAGGATGTTTTCATTAATAGAGCTGTCAAAATATTTTCATATGTAGAAGATATCTTAACTTTATGGGATTGCTCCTTAGAGAGAGTAGATTTTAAAAGCTGTGCTTCTTGATGCCCTTGGAAGCTGTCACATGAGTCTGGTTTGTTGCCATTGTGGGGTACCATATCTGTCTCTTTACATGTGCTTGGTACAGAGTGACTCCCTGCGTGTTGTTTGGCCTTATGCAGTTTGACTTCTCTATCTCAGCAAGCCTTTAAAGCACCTCGGTTATGACGTACATGGATCTGGTTAAGTTGTAAAGACTCATTACCATCTCCTTAAAATCCAGCATTCAACACAAAGTGTACATTCCCCATTCAATCACATAATCATTTTTATAAATTCATAGCTCTGGTCTTAAACAGGAAGTAAGGGGACCCTGCTTCCTCCCTGAGCCCCACTCACTAGAAACCAGAAGCAAAAAGAACGGCAGGACTCCTGGATATCTTGCTCTTGAGGGCGCTGTGCTGTTTTCTGTGTGTGTGCCAGGTTCTGTTGCTGTTTTAACATCCTGCTTAAATAAACAAAACACCCTAGGATGAAAAGTAACAAGTCCCCTTCTTCCCTGTAATCGCCCCTGATCCCCTAGCATAGTCTGTAGGTTTTAGCTTCAAAAGAAATATTTGAAAGAGAGAAAAAAGTGCTGCTGTTTCACTGGAGGTATTTTTGTTCTTTTTTGAGAGGGTGGATGAGTTAATTCTGACCATGGCTTAAGCCTATAAAGTAGGCTTTAAGCCCATGACCGAGCCATCAGCTCTGCCTAGTGACAGCTTCACTCTACAACGCTTTCTTTTTTGGAGAGTAATTTTTCACCTGAGCCATATAAACATGAAACCCATAGTAAATAATACATCTTGTGATATTTATGAAAAGAGTATTCCTTGCAAGTAACTTCTGAAAGATCTGTAAACATGATCTAATAGACGGTGATCTCAAAGCTCCCTGCCTTTGGGGGCTGTTAAGTTAACGTGAATGCCCGCTATAGTTATTAGTGTGCTAGGTCTACAACGTTTTCATATGAAATACTTCAGGACTGTTAATTTGCTTATGCCTAGTTTGTAATTCCTAGACTGTTTCCTCATTTATATCTTCAAAGATAAACTCTTATGGCAGTAATTGTCCAGGTGGTCCACTTTGTTAAGAATATCTCTTCCCTTTCTCAAAGAAATAAAATGAGAACTATCATTTCACCTAGCATCCCACTACTGGGTATCTACCTAAAGAAAAAGAAATCATTCTGTCAAAAAGGCACCTGCTCATGTATGTTTATTGCAGCAATAGCAAAATCAGGGACTCACTTAAGTGCCTATCAACAGTGTAGTGGATAAAGAAAATGTGGTACATATACACCGTGGAATACTGTACCCCCATAAAAAAGAATGAAATCATGTTCTTTCAGCAACATGATGCAGCTGAAGGCCATTATCCAAAGTGAATTAAACTACAGGTAAAGCAGAAGATGTTGAAAGCACAGAGGGAGAAAGAGAGATTGCCTGAGGGCCTGCAATGACACTGAGTGTGGGTTTCCACAGTAATCATGGAAGTATGAAGATGGAGCTGAGAACATAACTGCCAACCTAGAATACTTTACTAATGTAAAATATGATTCAGGAGACAAAATCAGAAAATCAAAAACAAAAAATCAAATACCACGTTTTCATTTGTAAGTGGGAACTGAGCAGTGGATATGCATGAATGTAAAGACAGGAGCAATAAACACTGGGGACTCAATAAAGGAGGGAGGGACGGAGGGGATCAGGTGTTGAAAAGCTACCTATTGTAGTACTGAAACAGGGTACTATGTTCACTGTTTGAGTAATGGGTTCACTAGAAGCCCAAACCCCAGCTTTATATTGTATACCATTGTAACAAACTGGTACACGTAATCCCTGAATCTGAAATAATTAAATTATTTTTTAAAAGACTACCTCTTCCCCTTCTTTGCTTTGCCTTTCATGGCAAAAACAGATAAAGCTGGTCACATGATGTTCTTTTGGAATTTTAAAAAAAAGGTCATTTCACAGTCAAAAAGAATGATCCTTCCAAAGGAATTAACAGCTAACTAGGTATTGACATTTGCATTTGGTGGCATTCTTCTATAAGAGAGCCTGGCTTTGATGCAACTGGTTCCTATTGCAAAATGGTATTTCCCATGAGTGTGAGATTATGAAGAGTTGCTCCTAGAAAGCCATTTTGTTCTGCAAACATATTTAATCAAGAAAATAAATATGCTTTTGCAAATTTTTATAAGCATGTAAGACATAATTTAATGCAGAAGCTGAGACATATTTAATGCAGATGCTGATTTCAAATTGGCTTAGTTTTTAATGCTGGCATTGGAATAAACCTGTATCCCATTTCCTTTCCTCATATGGGACCCAAGACCTAGTCTTAAGCACAAGAAGATCCAATATAAGTAACATTAGTGTTTCTGAGGAGACAAGAGAGGCCCTGATAAGATGATCTTCAAGTCGAAACATGCTAAAACCTTAGCAAATTAAATTGAGACCTAGATACATTATTAGAAACTACGGACCCTCAAAGGTAAAGTAGAAGATGTTGAAGGTACAGAAGGAGAGAGAGATTGCCTGAGGGCCTGCAATGACACTGAGTGTGGGTTTCCACAGTAATCACAGAAGTATGAAGATGGTGCTGAGAACATAACTGCCAACCTAGAATACTTTATTAATGTAAAATACAATTCAAGAAACTAAAATGAAATGGACACTTTCAAACAAGCGCTGAAATTTTTACCACTGGTGGACTCTTGGTAAAAAGATTATCGAAGGATATTCTTCAAAAAGAAGGAAATTGAACTCAGAAAGGCATAAGATGAGCAAGGAAATGGGAGATGGCAGGTATGTCTAAACCACATTAGTTGTACAAAACAGTGATACTAATGTTGATAAAATTGGGGAACATTTTATCAACTAAAATTTGTAGCAACAAGAAGATAGATGATCAGGTATAATATTTTCTCTTGTCCTTTTAGATTTTAATAGATAAGCATGCTGATATGGTTTGGTTGTTTCCCCACCTAAACCTTAACTTGAATTGTATCTCCCAGAATTTCCACATGTTATGGAAGAGACCCTGGGCGAGGGGTAGTTCAATCATGGAGGCCCATTTTTTCCCGTGCTTTCTGGTGATTGTGAATAAGTCTCATGAGATCTGATGGGATTATCAGGGGTTTCCACTTTTGCTTCTTCCTCATTTTCTGTTGCTGCCACCATGTAAAAAGTGCCTGTTACCTCCCACCATGATTCTTAGGCCTCATTAGCCATGTGGAACTATGAAGTCCAATACACCTCCTTTTGTTATCAGTTTCGGGTATGTCTTTATCAGCAACAAATACACATGCTAAAGGTGTAAAGGTAACAACTGAAAATTACAAGTTATAGGAAGGAAGGGCCAAAGAACTATAGAAAAAGCAAGAGTAAATAGAATGAAATGGTCAAAATAAATACAGATAAAATGTGTTTATAACCCCAGTAGCTAAAAAAGGATTAAATTTCAGGTAAAGATCAGAGATGATCAGATTGTATAAAACATAATTTCAAGGAGGAAGGAAGACAAAAGTGGTCATTGTACAGTGATAAAATGAATAGTTCTCCATGAAGATAAAGTAATTTTAAACTTGTTTGCCTTTGGTAGCATAGCTTCAAAACAGTTAAGGCAAAGCTGACATAATTTTAGATCTGTAGTCAGTGTCAGTTGTTGAATGACGTCTCTGTAAGTAACTAGTAGATTGATCAGAAAGAAGTTACAAAGATCAGAAGATTTGAATAGCTACAGTTTTGTTCTAGCAAGTGGATATAAAGAACCTACTTTAATAAGGAGATAAATTCTTTTAAAATACAAAAGACATTCAAATTTGTTTGCACGCTAGGCCAGAAAGCAGCCAGTATCAACAAAAACCACATTTATACCATATTATGTTATCTGATCACAATTACTAGATTAGGAACCGAATTTCTAATTTATGCATTTTGGAAATTTGAATTCAGTATAACTTGTGGGCCAATGAAGAAAACAAAATGCAATCAAGTACCCAAGTTAAAAATCAGAAAGAAGTGCAGAATAAAGAGAGGTTTTTCCTTATTTGCTTTAAGAATGTTAAAGAGAAGAATAGAAAATAATTCTAAAACAAGGATACAGTTGAGAGGATACAAATGCAAAAGTTGGTTGTTTAAAAAAGTGAGTTTATCTAAACTACAAGAAAGAAGATTAAAACACTATGAATGAAAAGAAGGTCACATCTATCTACAGGTACAACAAGTATGTTTAAAAGTGAGACTACAAACAATTGTATGCCAACAAGTATGAAATATTACAGTAAGTCCTCACTTAAGGTCATCAGTAAATTCTTGGAAACTGCTACTTTACGTGAAACAACAATGGCAGGTTCTTGAATAAGATCATTTTCTTCAGTGTCATTTCATTATAATATTGATGAAGGAAAAAGTCACTGTGTTATAGATGATTTTTCTTTAAGTCACAGTTTCCAAGCACCTATCAAGAACAGTGAGGACTTACTACTGTATAATACTTAGAATATAAGCACTTTCCTAGAAATACCCAAATTTACCCAAATTGACTAAAAAAGAGTAGGAAACCATTAAAGAAACGAATGGATTAATATCTGTACCCTCTCATCTTGCACTCTACCCCCATACTAGGCCTAGAGAGTTCAAATATTCAAAGGAATGGATTCTTTAAATTTTATACCATCAACTCCAGAGAGAAGAAAAAGAGGAACTAAATTGATCCTCTAGTTTGGTTTTATTTTCAAGTTATCACGAAAAGTTTTAAATTTGTATCACAAATAAGATAGTATAACAAATTCTCATGAACCTATCATTAGTCACCTAGCATTAACAGAGTATTTTGCCATTAGCGTTTCATCGATAATTTCTCACAGATACCTTTCGTTTTGTTTTGTTTCAAAATACTTGTTGTAACTGTGGATGTGACCTTCTTTTCATTTCCAGTGTTTTGTTTGTTGTTTCTGGAGTATGTTAAAGCAAATCCAAGCCTTGCTAAACTCATTTATTAGTTCTCCAAGTTGTTTTTTTAGATTTCTGAATTTCTTCCTGCATACTACTGGGTCACACCATCTGTGAATAAAGACGGTTTTACTTCTTTCCAATCAATATGAGTTTTTTCTTTACCAAGAACCTGCAGTACGATGGGCAATACAAGTGCTAAGAATGAACATCCTTACTTCATTCCTGGGATCTTTGGGGAAACATCTTCAAGTCTTTCACATTAAGTATGGTATTCACTCTAGGGTTTCTGTAGATTTCCTTATCAAGCTGAGAATGTTCCCTTTTCTAATTTGTTGAGAGTTTTGGTCATGAAGGGTTGTTGGATTTTATTAAATGCTTTGTCAGTGATTATCGAGATGATTATGTGGTTTTTGTCTTATAATCTGTTAATATAGAATATTACATTAATTTATTCTCTGATGTGAAACCAACCCTGAATCTTGGGATAAACTCTGCTTGGTCGTGGTGCACGAACTTATTTATATGTTGCTGAATTTGGTTTAGGATTTTCATGTCTGTTTTATAAGGAATATTGTTATGTAGTTTCGTTGTGGGGTGTTTTTGGTAAAAAAGATTTTGCTGATTTCCTTTACTTCTGGAGTCAGTTTTGGTAACTTATAGTTTCCTAGGAATTTTTGTATTTCGTCTAAATTGCGTAATTTATTGACATGAGCTGTTCAGAATATATAGTGTTTCCTTCCTTTCTGCCAGGTGTAGGTAGTGATGTCTCCTCTTTCATTTCTGATATTGGTTATTTTTGTCTTCTCTCTTCTTTTTTTTGGTGGGGGCGGGGGGATCAGTCTAGCTAAGAGTTCACTGATTTTTGTTGGTCCTTTCTAATAACTTACTTTTTGGTTTGATGTATTTTTCTGTGTTTGTTGTTGCTGCTGAATTGATTTGTACTGAGACTTTTATTGTTTCCCCTCTTCTGCTTCCTTTGGGCTGAATTTGCCCTTCTGTTTCTTATTTCTTAAATGAAAAGGTTAGATTATTGGTTCTTTTACTTTTATGACATAAGTGTTTAAAACTACACTGTCAAAACTACAATGTAGTGCTTTCTGTAAGCACTACATTGGCTACATTTCATAAATTTTCATGTAATGCTTTTGTTTTCATTCAATTCTAAATACTTTCTAATTTTCCCTGTATTTTCTTTTTTGACTGATGGTTTTTTTTTTTTTAGAAGTGAGTTTTTGAAAATTTTTAAATTTTGGAGAGTTTCCAAAATTAAATTGATTTCTAATTTAATATGGCCATTAAACACAATTTTCTCTTGTCTTTAGCTTTTGATAGTTTGACTATTATGTGTTCAGGTAAGGCTCTTTTTATGTAAGTCTTAAATCTTTTTAAATTTATTGAGATCTGTTTTATGGCCCACATTCTGGTTTTTTGTAGTAAATATTTTGAGTGTACTTGGAAGGAAAGTGTATTCTATTGTTAGAGGGACTGTAAATGTCAGATAGAGTGAGTTGGTTGACAGTGTTCAAGTCTTCTATATCATTGTTGATTTTCTGTTTTGGTCTATCAGTTACTGATAGTGGGATATCGAAATAGCCAACTATAAATGTAGAATTATGTATTCTTTCATTTCTGTCCGTTTTTGCTTCATGTATTTTGAGGATCATACACACACACACACACACACACACACACACACACATTCATAGTTATTACATCTTACTTGAAGTACTGACTCTATTACCATTATGAAATGTTCCTGTCTGTAGTAACATTTATTGGCTAAAAATCTTGCCTGATACCAATACAGTCACTTCTTACGGTTATTGTTTTCATGGCATATTTTTTTCCTATCCTTTTGCTTTTAACCAATTTTTATCTTAGATTCTAAAATGTGTCTCTTGCAGACAGCATATGGTTGCTTCAAAAAATCTGATCTGATAATTTCTTTTTTTTTTTTTTGAGACAGAGTCCAGCTCTGTTTGCCCAGTCTGGAGTGCAGTGGTGTAATCTCGACTC